CCTCAAGGGCCGAGAAATTTTAAGCCCGAATCGAGCCCGTTGGGCTCGCCATTTTATACCCCAAGGAAAATGAATATAGAGGGTAAAGTGGTATTTTAAGTTTACGTTTGAGGGTAAATTAGACAAGATTTGTCAAAAAAAAAAATTAATTGAGCTCTAGCTTTTTCTCAAGCACGGTCGTTTCACACGTGTAGCGCCTGTGCTATTTTTCCCGGAGAATTATGGGTTTTTTCTCCGACTTGTGCATTTTCTTGCGGCGATTTCGATGTATAGATGCCGGTATTCGTATTCGTGATTCGTACGGAATCTCTTCCTATTCTACCATATACGGCTACAACCGTTTGCATTGTTCTTCTTCACTAAAATTTGAGAATTTTGTTGAATTGTTTATCATTTTGTTGAGTTGACTATTGTATTCTTTGAAAGTCAATAACAAAAACAATATTGAAATAGAAATAAAATATAAAAATGATATAAGATTGATAATAATTAAAAATATAATCTCATTTGAGAATAATATATGTATTATATCAATTATCTTTTACCTTATTTGTTTTTCTCTTATCTTTATTTATTTGTTTATTTTAATAATTTTTTTATAAATGTATAAATTATTTTATTATAACAATTAGGAGTGAACATTCGGATACGTGAAGTGGTACTGAACCCTCTCACATCTCTCCGTCACTCGTTCGTGTAAGAACCGAAAGAAGAAACAACGATTTTAACGAGTTCGGTTACCGAGCAAGCTCGGGCCTATATCTCGGTCAAACGGTGCCGACGAATCCATTAGAAAACGGAAAGAAATAGCGGAAAACAGAAGCTCGGCGGATCTCCACAAATCCGGAGCCTCACCGAGAAGAACCGAGAACAAGGACAAGAGAAATCACCGAGGGATGCAAACCTGTACCAGGATCTTATCGATCTACCACCGAGCTTCCTTGACGGACCACCGAAACGGCTCCACCGTATGCTCTCCGCAAACGCCTCTTCCTCTCTCCTTCTCTCTTTTCTTCTCTGCTGCTAAGTTACGAAGTTTTGAGACCTAGGGTGAAAACCCTAACACATCGAAACGCTACGTTTCGATTAAGAGACCGAAGCCTCCCTTCGAATAGGAGGATTCTCTTTTTACGCCAATGGGTCTTAAGGCCCAACAGGATAGATTCAGATTAGATTGATTCGGGTTCGGGAATTTCAGATTTAAAATATTCAAACCCAATCGAGAATATAATTTTAATTGGTTCGATTCGGATATATCTAAATAAATATTCGATAAGATTATCGATAAATTAATAACCAATTTGTTTATCACCGGGAACTATATTTGTTTGTCGGTAGATTAATAACCAATTTTCAAACAATCAAATCACAGTTTTAAATTTTATATAACTCTATATTATTCATCAATTGTACATATATTTCATTTCAATAGGGATGAACGTTTCGATATTCGATTCAGATTCAGATTGAGAATGATTCAGTTTGATTCTTTCGATGAAGACACGATCATCACAGAAGCGATTAAGATATGCTTCGATGCGAGGTTAAGAAAGAAGACCACGCATGGGTGATAGTGATAAAGTTGAGGAGAATTAGGGATCTCGATAAAGTTAGAGACATAGTTAAGCCTAAAATGCCATTAAAATTTGGATTTTGAAAGCTTATTAATACAATTATATACCATATATATACACCATATAGCATGTAGACAAGTCATATTCTATATAGCTAATATAAACCGTTATAATGTATATAAGACAGTGTAATTATCACCTATTTAACTTGTAATACATGATATCAATATATTGGTATACACATTAGTATCATGGTTATAAATGTGGACGAAAATGAAAAATTGCTGTATTTTCTGAAAGTTTTTGGCAAGTTCAATATTTTTTTATGGGAAGTTGCAAATTAATGTTGTCTGTGGAACATTTTAAAGGATTTTTTATGGGATTTTTCTTTTAGATGGTATAGTGTGTAGTTTGATTTAGGGAAAATTTAAGCAATTTTATACTTAAAAAAATAAAAATGGGTGAAATGGGGAAAAAAAAAGGTGAAGCGACTTTTAAAACCACAGAGCCAGCATCGATAATATATGGTAGCTGTTCAACAAATTACCATTGACTTGGAAGATGACCGGGAGTAACGCAGTCGTCCGTAATCGCAGCGATTGTGATTTCTGGTAATTATAGGTGATTGAAAAAGTGATTGTTGAAATCGCAATCACAACAAAACATCAATATTCTAATCACAGATAAAAAATTGCATTACGATAGCGTTTTACAGCGTTTTGGTTAAATAATCAAAATACCCATGATATTAATTAATATATATATACACATACATATCATATTATATAAAAAGAACTTACGTATATATATACATGAAATATATAAATACATACACGTATAATATATATATATACACATATATATACATACATATATACATACACAAACAATCATATATACATACATCCATCTATACATACTTACACATACATATATATACATATACCACACATATATATACATATATATACATACATACATACATATATATACATATATACATACACATTTATACAGACATACATATATATACATATATATACATATATATATATATATACATATATATACATATATATATATACATATACATATATATATATATACATATATATACACATATATATATTTATATACATAATACATATATATACATAAATTAAAAAAATATATTAATAATTTTGTTTGGTATATATTATGTTTGATATTATTTAGTTTTACCAATAAATATTTTTAATATTAAAACTATTTTTGAAAATAAATTAAATTGATAATAAAATTATATTTTAAAATTTATAATTAATTATTTATAAATTTAATAATTATTTGCTATTAAATAATAGTAAAAAATTAATTAAAAATATTTTTAAAATGATTAATATTGTATATAATAAAATGATGTCTTTTTTTTTAATTTAAACTAAATCGCAATCGTAATCGCTCCCAATCAGACGTTATAAATCGCAATCACTCACCATCGCTATCCACGGTAGTTTTTTTATCAGTTAGTACCAATTACCTAAAATCATCAACGAACGCATTGTAAACACCCGCAATCGCCGCGATTGCGATTGCGATTCCACCGGTCTAACTTGGTACGGACACCTAAAGACGACAAAAGTCATATAACTTCTGGAAAAGGGAAACAGAACAACACTCGTCACAAACAAGGATACATCTCTCTCTCTCAGTGCGGCTTCTGCAGGGCGAGAACCTTGGCCCAGGCCTCCCTGGCGGTGATCTTGGCGACCCATTCACTGACCTTGGGGCGAGCCTGGAAGACCTTCTTGGAATCCGTGGCCATCAGGCAATGAACCGCAGGTAGGTGGTGGAGGTCAGCCAGTGTGAAGCAATTACAGGCCAAGTACTCGGACTCACCTAGCCGCTTCTCGTAAACGTCTAGGACTTTCCCCAGCTTCCCTTCAAGCTCTTCCGCAGCTGCAGGGTCCGTGCTCATCCCGAACATGGGCTTGTAGAATCGTTCGAAGGTCAGCTTCATGGCCACCGGTTCAAACTGCTGACCCTCCACTTCCATCCACTGCCTTGTGGCAGCCTTCACAACCTTGTTGCCAGGACAGAACAGCTGGTTGCCTTTGTCGTTGTATTCCTCGGCTATGTACTGTGTGATAGCCCTTGATTCTGCATTGACACAGCATTTGATATCTTAGCACAAAAAAGCAGTCGAATCGATCAAGTCATCAATCATTAGTTATGTTCATGGACAAGATTGATTTCTCTAATCGCCGTTATAAGCGTGCAAGGAGTGACAGATCAACAACCATCGGGATACTGTCGTTCGCTGCAAATCAAAAATCGGTCGGAGCATAATATCGGGATTAGTCACGGACTCACCGAAAAGCTTCACATCACCGTCGTCAAAAGCCGGAACTTGACCAAAAGGCTGCATTGAAACGAAGAATGTTAAATTAGACACCAATTCTCTTCAAAACCTAACGCCTAGGATCGAAACCAGTTTCCAACCGCCACGGAAACAGGATCGCATCTCAGATTAAGCCAAAACAGATGGTCGGAGATTGCTTACGTTGCGGGAGATGTGGGGCTCTTGCTTGTGAGCGCCGGAGCTCGTATCGACGGGGACCAACTCAAACTCGAGGCCTTTCTCGTAGAGAGCAGCGAGTGCGCGCATGGTCGCCGTCGAGAGAGGGACTCCATAGAGCTTGATTGCTGCCATGATCGATCGGGAAACGAGGCAGAGGATGGATGACGAATCGAGAAGAATGTCGTTGGCGACGGAGAAATTGTGCCGAGAAAAATAAAAATGGCGCGTCTCTTTATATAGGAGGAGGTGAGCAACGTGGAATTTTATTTCTTCTAGAAAACTCTACGGATGTCCTCAATTTTAGTTTCTATTTCGGGTAAATGATCATTTTTTATTTTCCCTTGTATAATATATAATTGGATAACATTTTTTCGCCGAATATAAAAGGAAAAAAAAAGATAATGCCGCGATAATGCTGACAAGCTAAAAATAGGGTAAATAGGCTTACTACTTGAGTTCAACCCTCGTCAACATTTTTCGCATCCTATTTTTGTGCCATTTCTGTTTGTTGTGCCAAAAATTATCTAAAAAAAAAGTGAAACGATCAATTATACAAAAACATGTAATTAGATTAAATATAACATATGGAAGCCTTTTAAGCTATAGCTTATGGAATCTCTATATTCAAAGTTTATCCGACCCATAAATATCAGATCCGGTATATTTTTAATAGGTTTGTTTAAATATTCCTCCCTTCATTTTTATCTCCTCTTGTAGTTGTGACAAGTCACATCTATATAAATGCATTTCTTTTAACTATATCATCAACAGAGAAGAACACATTTTTTATTTATTTTTTGTATTATGTTTTGATGTTGTCTGATTATTAAATTTTTTTTTATAATTTCACCCAATTATATTTTTCATATTACCAAAAAAAAATATAGATGAATGACTCTTTCTATATTTGGGTTTAAACCATAAATAAAAATATTCTTTATATATTCTCATATCACTGTTCCATCCAAATTTGATATTTAGATATTAAATTTTAATCCTCACACTTGACCTATAGAAAAATTACGATTTTAATACTCGGCTTGATATAACATCTCTGATTTTTTTTTTTTTTACTTTTCTTTATTCCCCAATTAGGCAATCACAGTTCTAAGACTCACTTGGACATGGAAATCTGCATCATGGACACGCCCATATATACACATATATCTCTATCTACACTACGTTGCGTACGTACACATCATTAAGGGTTTAAGGATCGGCGTACTACGTAAGAAGAGAGAACACACTATAAACAGCGGTGCATCAGGAAGTTAGAACACAGAAGGCGGGTTCAGGAAGTTGTGATACTCGAGCTGAGTCATCTCTCCACCATGCACCGGATCAAACTGGCATCTGTAGAAGCTGCATCATCAAAAAAAAGAGCTCTCTGGTCAACACAAAACCGGGCACGGAACGATACATCATTCAGATCGAAACAGAGTTGATCCCGGGTTTTTAAAGAAATTCTCTGCAGATTAGGGTCTAGTTTCTGTCACAAGTTGGGAGAATGTAGAGAAATATATCCTCACCTCCCATCCATGCCAAGAATTACAACAGTGTTTTTCTGATGACCAAAGGCGACTGTGTATTGAGATCCTTCGACCAACCGGAACTGAGCCACTGACCATTCTGAGCTGAAATACTTTGGCAACACTCCTGTGGTCAGAAGAAGGAGAGGTTTAACGACAAAGAGGGTTATGCCATTCAAGATAGAGCTTTTATTAGCCGGTATTCGAGTAAGCAGGAAGGGCATTACTTACCTTTGAGTAATGAGAGAGATGAGGAAGGGGAGTGAGTGGCATCCACTGCAGTTCGGGTTGTGTCGTTTTCTTGAGATTCAGAATTGACTTTGAGACCGAAAACATGGACAGTCCCTTTATCGCTCGAGACTGCTAACCACTGGGCGTTTGCAGAGAATGCAAGACTATAGATCTCGGCTCTATCTGCACCCCTCCTAACCTGGACAGTCAAATCATATCAAACCGAAATCATCGTATTGTGAACTCTGAATTCATAGGGAAGATAAGGATCTAAATCCCATGAGATACCCTCAAATTTAAAGACTAAACAGAAATTCAATCTAATCATGAATGATACAACACAAAAGGTGCACAAGTTAGGCTTGAAACAGCCAACGAACTTTTTCTGTAGCGCTACAAAAGCGACAGAACTTAATCTGGTCAGATGACATGGGTCAGATTAAAATTCAAGGGACAAAATGGAAGAGCAATGACGAAAAAGAGCAGTGTGGGTAGGTTCTAAACCAATCGCCCAATGCTTCACAGTTCCTATAAGTACAGCAAAACCCTGGATGACTGACTCTGACCCTCAGAAGCTTAATACCTATCAAATTACTGTTGGAGGTCACCTGAACAAGAAAATTATGTATCTTTGCCAATAATGTTTGCTATAATCGCTATTCCATTCTCGAGAGCCATATCTGACATAGGATCTAAGCGATGTTTCAGGTAGCAATGAATCCTACAATCCACAGGAGACTAAAGCTCGATGGGTATGGAACCCAGCAAGCGGATCAGCTCAGAATAGACTCCCGAAGTAACTAAAAGAACCTATCCACGTCTACGAACTTAAAGAGCTATCAATCAAAAGAGTAGCTAAACTACTACCAAGTTAAAAGCATTGCAATATCAAGTAGCAGCAGATTTTCACATTCCAATACCAAGGTCGTATTATCTTTAACGTCCTTGAGGCAAAGGCTAAGCGCGAAAGGCGTACCTCCTGGAGCAACGTACCATCGGCAGTGTTAAACAACCGAACCAGAGTGCCTTTGGTGCTCGCCGTGGCCAACAAGTGCCCGTCTTGCGTGAGCGCGAAACAAGCAATCCGTGAATCATGGGCCATGATGAACTTAGTCCGCTTCGACGCGTAATGCTCGACCCGAACTTGACCCTTCTGCAAACCAGGGCATACGAGCAACATCGCCCCAGCTCCCTGAGAAACGGAGCATAGACCCTTAGGATTCGCGATGGTCTCTATCTGATGCATCAGCTTCAGGTCGGCGAAGTTGTACACAAATATCTTCTGCTCGAGAACAACGACGATCCGATCCCTCCTGAGCCGGACCGCTCTCACATCGGACCTGAATGAGAGCTCGCCGATGCAGCGGCTCTGATGATCGTCCCAAATCATGACCTTATTGGGCGGATACTGCGGCTCGTGACCACCGCCAACGAAGGCCAGGATATTGCACCGAAAAAGCATCTCCACTACACCGACCCCACCGCCGCGATCGAAATCTCGCCGGAAGATCTCGCGAAAAGGGTCGCAGTTATAGATCCGGAAGCCGCGATCGGTGCCAGCAGCGAAGCAAGCGTGATCCTGGTTAAAGGAGAGGTAGAACAGGGAAGGCGGAGGCGTCACCGGTGAATGCTGCGGCGGAGAGAGAGTGGTGTGAGCGTTGAGGTCCCTGTTGGGATCCAGTTGCCGAGTGAGCTCCTCGTCCTGGAGACTCATGGAGGAGAAGGAATCGAGAGAGTCGGTGGGGTCGTGGCGATCCTGGGGCGGGAGAAGAGGAGGAGCTGAATCGGAGGCGGAGGTGGAATTAGGGTTTGAATCGGAATCAGGGTTTTGCCAAGCAGGAGAGGAGAAAGCGGAGACGGTGGCCATGGAAGAGAGATTTTGGAGGATTCTAGAGAAATCGGAATTCGGATAGAAGCGGCGTGGATAAGAAAAACAAAAAGGAATAAGATACGAGACGTGAGCACGGCTTCGTGCTTTCCTCAACGTCTCGTCAAGATTTTGTTTACAGTATTCCGTTGTTTTTTTTTTCTCCTCCCAATGCAATATTCCTTCCAAAACTCTGTGTAATTTAAACAGAAAACAATGCATTTCAATAGTAATTATATTTCAATATATCAATTTATTATCTACAAATATCTAAAAAAAATATGCAACGCAACATTAAGAGTTTTGAAGTGATTACAAGGCTGTTGGCCTTCAGCCACGGTGAAGTTGACGAGGGAGTTGCCTCGACGGTGGCTTCGGTGAAATTTAACAGTATTCTATGTTTACATATTTTTTCCCTGAAACACGGATCCGTTGTAGTCTAGATGGTTAGGATACTCGGCTCTCACCCGAGAGACCCGGGTTCGAGTCCCGGCAACGGAAATTTTTTAATTATATTTTTATTAAAAATATAAAATCAGAGAATGTGATTTCATGGGCCTAGTCCATTCTCGGCCCATTTGTAATACATCCATTTTTTTTGGGAAGAAACGCCGTCGACAACACGACAAAACGGGCTAGATGTTCTTCCATACTCGCACTGCGGCGGCCACGTCATTAAAGTTCGAAAAAGTTAAAAAAGAAAGAAAAAAAAAAGGAGGAAGGCAAGTTTCGTATTCATCTTGCACACCCCCACATGTCACTGTGCTTAAAAACCTTCTCCAGCTTCGGATTCTTCCACCATTATCGAGCGTTATCCTCACGCACACAAGCCCAGCCAGTACCAATAGCCTGAGATTAAAGCAGAGAGAGCAGCCATGGCTACGGGAGATCACAAGCAGTTGATGATCGTCGGCGTCGACGAGAGCGAGCCGAGCATCTACGCCCTCGAGTGGACTCTCGACCACTTCTTCGCTCCTTATTCTCCCAATTCCCCCTTTAAGCTTCTCATCGTCCATGCTAAACCTTCCGCCATCTCCGCCATCGGTCTCGCCGGTCCCGGTAATGTTACTTTTATTTTTTTGGTCGCACTCATGGAAACGATCTTTCGACTAAGAAATTTGGGATTTGATTTGGTTTTTGATTACTGCTTCTGACGGTTTTTCTAGGAACTGCGGAGGTTGTGCCTTTTGTTGACGCCGATTTGAAGAAGATTGCTGCCAGAGTCGTTGAGAAAGCTAAGGAGATTTGTCACAGCAGATCGGTACTCGATCATTGTCTCCCGTTTTTCATTTTTTTTTATAATGGAAATCACGTCTCTGTTTCCTTTCGGTCATAATTGCTATTCGATGATTTCCGTAAGAAGGATAGTCTCTATGTATAGTTATTGTGGTTGTGGACTGTTGAAATGCTTGTTCTTGTACCTTGTTGCACGAATTCTGAATGAGACAAAAGTACAGTAGAAAAACTTTTAAGCTGAGCAGTATTACGATTGTATCATCGTTCGTAATGAACACGGGCGATGCTCTGCAGGTAAGCGACGCGACAGTGGAAGTTATAGAAGGGGATGCCCGAAATGTACTCTGTGAAGTTGTGGAGAGACACCATGCTTCTGTTCTGGTCGTGGGCAGCCACGGCTACGGAGCTATCAAGAGGTATGTGCTCATCTTTAAACCCTTTCTGTCGCCATGAGACGTTTAGACATTAACTGAGATTTTTTCTCTTTTAGCTCCTTTTCACAGTGGCCAATTTTGGTCGTCAGCTGCTTCAACTCTGTCTCAGCTTTCCCAACAGCAACCTTTGCATCACGCAACTGATCTTCAAGGCATTTCTCCTCATCACCACTACTTTTCCCAGCAAGTACACCCTAATTTCCATGAACTTAAATTCAATGAAAATGCAAGGCAATCAAGATAATATGGAAGGAGACATATGCTGTAGTGATACTACCTGATGTTCTTTTTCGCACTCTTCCAATGTGGTCGAAAACTCCTGAACTCTTTGTTTTAGGTCAGCCGCTCCTTCCTCAGACTTCTTCAAAGCAGAGGTTTTCTCTTCAAGAGATTTCTTCAAATCTTCTATGTTATGAACAATCTGGCAGTTACCTTTGGTTTGCTTCTTTTCAAGTGTTTTCAGCGCAGCCTCTTTCTTGGTTTCATACATTCTTGTCCCAGCAGCTTCTTCAAGCATTGATAGGATCTCTGGAGGTTTCATGTTTAAGACTTTGGTGATACGCCCTTGCATGATGAGAAAATGGGGATTATTGACATTGAGTTGCACCGAGTGGAAAAGGTTCGGCACTTGACTTGGTTGTGCAAGCTTTCCATTGATCAAATACTTGTTCCGTCCACCAACTACAATCTTCAAAATGAAGACACAAAGGGGAACAAAGTCACCATGTGCAAATCCTTCTAAGTAGAAATGCAAAATAGACAACCTTTTCACCTAACCCTTTTAACATTGCGATAAAACCAAGCTTTCATCTTCATCATTACAAACACCAAAACTCTCATGCCAATGCCAACGCTAACAAAAACGCTAATTTTCACGGATTTCGTAATTCCTATAGTACACTACAAAATTTTGAAGAAATTTTGAATTTATATCAAAAGCGTATGTCTTGTGCCTCTTCATTTTCCGCAGCAAAATCACGTCTCTGTTTCCTTTCGGTCATAATTGCTATTCGATGATTTCCGTAAGAAGGATAGTCTCTATGTATAGTTATTGTGGTTGTGGACTGTTGAAATGCTTGTTCTTGTACCTTGTTGCACGAATTCTGAATGAGACAAAAGTACAGTAGAAAAACTTTTAAGCTGAGCAGTATTACGATTGTATCATCGTTCGTAATGAACACGGGCGATGCTCTGCAGGTAAGCGACGCGACAGTGGAAGTAATAGAAGGGGATGCCCGAAATGTACTCTGTGAAGTTGTGGAGAGACACCATGCTTCTGTTCTGGTCGTGGGCAGCCACGGCTACGGAGCTATCAAGAGGTATGTGCTCATCTTTAAACCCTTTCTGTCGCCATGAGTCTGTCCTCTCTTCTTAGAAGACGACACTCACTCCCTAAATGGATACAAATTCCTCGTCTCTTTGGCAGGGCGGTGCTGGGGAGCGTGAGCGACTACTGTGCTCACCACGCTCATTGCTCGGTCATGATCGTGAAGAAGCCTAAGATCAAGGGCTGAATCTACAAACTAAGACTGCCCCCCGAAACCACCAATAAATTCGGCAAAAGCACAAAATATGAGCTGTTTGCCGTGAAAGAATCAAGAAACCTATAAATCTGGGTTCGTGTGTAGTTGTTGCTTGTATGTTGTCTTAAATCCAACCAATCAGGGTTTATCCCTTCTAGTTTGACCACAATTACGCTTCTCTAATTCTCTTGCTTACACGACCCAATCGTATGGGCCTTGTAGATCTTTTGTTTCCCCCACAATAATATGATGTCTAACGTTTCTAGTTAAAAATTTCCAATTCTCACATAAAAAATAAAAGTGAGGTTTTTGTGATGCTGACGATAATATATTATCTCTGGCTTGTGCTTTTCCTTAATTCAAAATCCTGACCGTTCATTGTTAAGATCATACGGAAACCACCAATGATTATTGCCATCCAAATGTTAGGTTTGGAAGTTGAAACACATCAAGTGGCAGACATAAGCTCTGGCATATAGAATCAATACACTGCTATTAATACTCATAACTCGAATTTTCGTAATAAAAAAGTTTTGTTAAAAACTTGCTCTTGCTTCAAGAAACGAGATTAGAAGGCCAGACGAAACTTGAAGGTCCAATCCAATCACGTGTTTTCATTTGTCAGTTGTCACTTTGTATTATGGCCCCTCAACAGCAACTCCTCTTCAAGGAATGCATGCATCTTTTTCTTTTCATTTTTTTTTTCATCTTTATGACTTTAAACTTGAATCTATGGGGAGAAAATATAATCAAATCAAATAATCTAATATTACGTCTCATAAATCGCATTTTACTAAAAGATCGCATTTTACTAAAAGAAAATCAATTAAATTCGTACAATCAAAACAAATAATCAAATAAAAATATGTTGACGGAGTCTTTTTTTTTTGGTAACTAAATATTTTAGATTAAGACTCAGATTAATGTCGAGGTCGATGATCAACCATATGGTTTAGAATATACGTTCTCTCTTCAAATCTGATGTTTAAATTCGGGACGAAACAAAAATTTTACGTTTCGTTGTAGTGATTGAACTATCCAAATTCAGATTTGACTGATGTCATCATAGACACATGATAGTCCTATATATATATATATATATATATATATATATAAATAAATAAAAGGATGGAAATCATTTTCGGGATCATGATAAATCAATACGAATAAATTCAATATCATGTCATATAAATGAATATTGATAACGATACGTAATCAAAGCTAGTAAGGAATAAAACCTAATCATTTACCCTTCGTAATTATAACTTGGATCCGACACCGACAAATGGAATTCCATACCGTAACTTACATTTCACATCCACAAACCCTATTCTGAATCTTCCAAGTCCTCTTCGCCATATATAATAATATCCCACTCCCACTCTCTCTTCTAATCGCATATTGCAAAAGATACAGAGACCAAACAAAAAAAATTCCGACACGCCCAATGAGTTCTTTGATCACAATCACGATTCTCTTCTCTCTCTTGATCGTACAGCCGAATCCATCGTTGGCGTCAAAACGCAATCGCAGCTACGTCAGAAACGCATGTAGTGCCACTCTATACAAAGAACTCTGCGTCCGATCGCTAACGCCGTTCTCAGCCTTGGCCAAGAACAGCCCAAGCAAGTGGGCCCGAGCCGGAGTCGCCGTGACCATAACGGATACCAAACACGCCCTCAGACGCATCGTGGAAACGCGGCGTTCAGCGGTCGTCGGGAAACGCGACGGCTTGGCGTTGTCGGACTGCAGGGAGCTGTTCCAGGACGCGCTGGACGAGCTCCACAGGTCCCTCGGGGTTCTGCGGACGCTGAACTCGACCGCGTCCCAGACGCAGATCAGCGACATGACGACGTGGGTCAGCACCGCCCTCACGGATCAGGACACGTGTCTTGATGGGTTCGAAGGGTCGAGTTCATCGACGGCTAAGATCATCCGGAGGAGGGTGACTATTGCTATGTACTTTACGAGTAATGCGCTTGCGCTAGTTAACAAGCTTGCGGCCGCTGGTGTGTAGATTTAATTATTCCACACATTTAGACATGTCATTTAATAAGGTGATGTTACGTATTAAAAAGCAATCAATTATATCTGTGATTATAAAGATGTGTAATAATAAGTGGCACAGCCGTGTCTTATCGTCGCTATCTCCAATTAAGTTAGTGGATACTACATGAATATCGCTGTTTTGTTTTATATATGCTTTCGCTGATTATAATATATATATATATAGACACGTACGTGTGAGGTACTGTGTATATATATATATAAATAAATGCTAGATCGATTTTTAGTTTCAACGCCTATTGGGCCGGTGAGTGGTTTTAATGGGCCATCCGTTATCTATGATTTGGGCCTTTTCTATGGAAATTTGAGCGCGACATGTGGGGTCCAGTATCGTCGGCCGTATCTAAAACCTAACGAGCTTGGAGGGGAAGTGGGTGTCGACGAGTTTGACTCGATGACGGAAAAAACACAGTTTCATCCGACGGACAGGACAATGCCACCTGGCTGCTTTTGCTGCCATCGGATCTGTTTGATTTGGTTGCCTCCCCCGGTTCTTTGCATTGCGAACAAAACATGTCACATAACATAATAAAGCCATGTGTTGTGTTGTTTGAATATATAAAAAATAAAGCTGAAACACCATGACAATCCATTGTTTTTTTTTTAAATGTAAATATATTAATCAATTACAAATACATCACGGTTGCAAAACCTTATATCAAAATTGAAAACATCCACAGCAGAGGATAGTATAAAAAAAGCCAAAAATAGCTAAAGATGTTACGGTGGTCTTGTTAAATAAAACTAATCTTGCAAGAGTAGGTTCGATGACAATCCATTGTTTTTTTGTTAATGGGATTAATTTTAAGATCTGGTTTACCAAAAATCAAATTAATTTATTTTTCAAGTTCGAATTTAGGATAGGATAAATGTTTTATACCTCCGTTTATCTAAGTTTGAATTGCATGACAACCCATTATTTCTCACTCGTTCTCATATTTTACCCTTTTCCTGATATTCCTGAATATATATCTTATTATAATCAGCTCGAATGATTTTTTTTTTTAAAGTTGCAGAAAATTAAATGAAAGAAACTAAAATCAAAGACAATCACAATTCAAGAGAAGATGATCAATGGGGAAGGTTATGGGAATCGGGTTTCACCGATCATGCAAGGATGCCGTAAAGGATTATGGACCTATATCATGCTCGTTCTAAGGTGAGGGATTCGAAGACTAAGGTCGGGTTCGGTTCTCTCAAACCGAAAACCCGCTATCCAAGAGAGCTCTAAGAATTCCATACATTAAATTAAATAAACAATAATAATAATATATCGTCCGGGGTAAAAAAAAAGGTGCGGGAGGAGGAGGGTGCAGAAAACGTGGTTATTATAGAGCGCCACGTGGCATGTACATGTTAATGTTTATAAGCCAAGCCTACCCCAGCTCGCGGGGTTTCCAACAGTCTTCTTATTTAGTCCATTATTAACTAATGATAATATTAATTACTCCAACATGACAAACAACCCACCTACAAATTCGGTAAATCATGCATGCATCTACTGCTAATCAATTCATCTCATATATATATATATATATATATATATTCTTATATATATAGATTAAAGAAAAAAAATCACGATGTTAACTTTTTCCCAATACTCATATATATATAGTGGTGTGCATCATATATAATGATTTGGTGTATATATAGAAAAAAAAAATACATAAATAATAAATAGATTCCTGCAAAATAGAGTAGTCCACCAAATGATATGAGATGATATGCCCACCATATCACGCAATACAATACTCTAATACGTAATGTTCATTTTGAAAATGGTAATAAATTAGAAATGTTGTAATATATTGCTACTTAAATATATATTTGGATTGGTTTAGATTTTTTTTTTTTGGGTCGCGGTTTCCTTTTCTAGAACATAAAATTTATAATTTTTATTTTTTAATGTTGGACAAAATCGTATAAAAATATTAATTTTACTTGATTTATTTCTTATTTTAAGTCTTCAATATGATATGTTGAACAAAATAACAAAATTTTATCCCCATCTTTTCGATTTTTTGTGTCTTCTTCTCCATCCGTCGATTTCTTAATTACACCAATTTAATTGACGGTTTTATTTGGTATTGTATTTAATCTCTTGCTCATGAATTATAGAATTCAAGACTACATAATTCTTTAATTGATTCGGCTTGCCAATTTATTTCCGAAGAAGTAATTGCAGGGGTATTGACGTAATAATGGCGAACAACGGGCCTTGACTGTAACGCCTCCTCTACTTAAATACACAAAGTCCATTCGCATTTCACTCCCGTTCAAGGTCGATTCAGTCCCCGCCGAGTTCGACTCGGAGATTTTCCCAGAAACTAAAGACAACCCGGGAAATTTTCTATACGATTACTTTCGCTCTCTCTCTTCCTTCTGGATCGAAAAATCTCTTCTCTGTGCTCAAACTTGATTCGAAGAAAGAGATAACGAGACGAAGAAGATGGCATCCGAGCTGATGTACCGGCGATACGAGACGGACCAGCCTTCCGTCGACGCTTACTACCCGAAACCCATTAAGCCATGGTTCTTCGTGCCTCGTTCCATCCGTTACATGCTCCGGGAACAGAGGCTTGTCTTCGTCCTCGTCGGCATTGCCATTGCCACCTTGGGTTTCACCATTTTCCCTCGCTCCACGCAACCCATCCCCTACTCGGATCCGTTTTCCGGGTACGGACTCCGGTCTGAGTCTTCGTACCTTACGGCGTTCCAGGCGCAGAAGAAGCCAAGCTTCGAGTACCTGAACCGGGTCGGGTCAGCGGGTGGTAAGATTCCTCTGGGGCTGAAACGCAAGGGCCTCCGGATCGTGGTGACGGGTGGGGCCGGGTTCGTCGGGTCGCACCTCGTGGACCGTCTGATCGCGAGAGGGGACAACGTGATCGTCGTCGACAACTTCTTCACCGGTCGGAAAGAGAACGTGATGCACCATTTCGGCAACCCGAATTTCGAACTCATCCGCCATGATGTTGTGGAGCCGCTCCTTCTGGAGGTTGATCAGATCTACCACTTGGCGTGTCCTGCTTCTCCCGTCCACTACAAGTTCAATCCCGTCAAGACCATCATATCCTTTCAAATGATTGCTTTCAATTCCGCTTTTTGTCTCGAATTCCGGAACTGCGTGCTCGAATGTGAATTCCGGGTTCCATCTCGATTCTATGTTTTTGAATTGTTGTGTTCGTTGTGGGTGTTGTTCCTTGACTGGCGTGAGGGTCATACAAGACGAATGTGGTAGGAACGCTGAACATGCTGGGTCTGGCGAAGAGGGTCGGAGCCAGATTTCTTCTGACGAGTACCAGCGAGGTGTACGGAGATCCTCTTCAGCACCCGCAGGTGGAGACTTACTGGGGCAACGTTAATCCCATCGGTAATACCCCCGTTATCTTCCTAATCATTTCCGTAGCCTCCCCGATTTTTCAATTGTCCCCATTGCGCTTTGTCTATTCTGATCCAGTCGTTCATACTCCCTCTATGATCGGAATTCGGAATCTGAAAACGCGCGTGATCGTGCCAACCTCGGGAACGTGACATGATGACGTTTTCTTTGATGAGCCACTTTGTCCGTTCTCTTTGGTTGTGTTTTGATTTTTCCTCGTCCGTGTCGGGAAGAGGCGCACGTGTTAGCACATAGGGCGTAGGGTCGCATTGGTAATTGGTTGAAACAGGAGTTTTTATGGTGCGGTTCATGTGCTGTGGGTTCCGATCTGGTCCCATGATGCACAGACAGAAACCAAACCTTAAATAGCGGGTCTTCATGACGGTGGACCGCACACCCGATAATATCTTCTACTGACTGTAGATTTGACGGAGGAAACATGGGTTATGACGGGAATGTCGTAATGTGGACACAGGAGTTCGGAGTTGTTACGACGAGGGAAAGCGGACAGCTGAAACGCTGACAATGGACTACCACAGGGGCGCCAACGTCGAGGTCAGTTTGGTCGAAGCCAATCAATTACTGATAACGTCCCAATGAGAAGGAAGAGCTGATGCAAACTTGGTGGTGTCTTCTTCTTCGTGGATGGGTTGCAGGTCAGGATTGCTCGTATATTCAACACGTATGGCCCCAGGATGTGCATCGATGACGGCCGCGTGGTTAGCAACTTCGTTGCGCAGGTAATTAATTACACTATCAAAATTATGAAAAGGGTTGCAAATGATGGGGTTTAATCGGTAATATTGAATGGAGCAGGCGCTGAGAAAAGAACCGTTGACTGTTTATGGTGATGGGAAGCAGACAAGGAGCTTCCAGTATGTCTCTGACCTGGTAAGGGTTTTGCTTTCTTCCCCTAATTACCAATTTATAAAATCGAAAATTCAACAAAAGTAGTGCACCTTCAACAGGTGGAGGGACTGATGAGGTTGATGGAGGGAGAGCATGTGGGGCCGTTCAACCTGGGGAACCCGGGTGAGTTCACAATGCTGGAGCTGGCTCAGGTGGTGCAAGAGGCGATAGACCCGAATGCCAAGATAGAGTTCAGACCCAACACAGAGGACGATCCCCACAAGAGGAAACCAGACATCACCAGAGCCAAGGAGCTTCTCGGTTGGGAGCCTAAGGTCTCTCTCCGCCACGGCCTTCCCCTTATGGTCTCTGACTTCCGCCTCCGCATCTTCGGCGACCACTCTTTCCTCTTAAGTTGTTATTTCTGGTTTTGATTTCTGTTTTGTCATTCTTGTAATTGTAGCAAGACGACTTTAAAAATCTTTTTTTTTTCTTTCTTTTTGCTACTACACAACTTTCTCGTTATTTTGAGGGCCAATAGCAATATAGCATTACCCCTAAAAACAACAACAATTTCTGTCTCCTCAGGACAAGTTCAACCATTATTGTTGTTTATTACATAGCGGAGCGATGGAGCAAACGGCCACCGTTCAATCCGCAGAGGAGACTGCCCTGTGACCGTTTAGGTCTCTTTTCTCCGTCAGTTGCCTTCTCGGCTGAGAAGTTAAAGTCGTGGCGGATGGGAGTGACGGTGAGGGGAGCGGCGTCGCCGGTACGGAGGTCGAGCCAGGAGACGATGTCCGCAAAGACAAGGTCAACGTTGTGGTCGGGCTCACCTGACGTCAGCGCATGCCACATTCCAGGGTAAAGCTTAATGGTCTTGTCTATGCTGCCTGCTTTCTCGTACAACGCTTTGCTTATCTCTGGGTCTGTCACCGTGTCTGCCTCCCCATGCAGCACCAAGAACGGCATTGTTATCTACATGATATTGTATCGGATATCGGCTTCACATTGTCAGTCCAAATCCCAGGATTAAAACTCAGTTATCCGAGAAAGAAACCAAAAGGGTAGGGGGAAATGGTAATTTTACCTCATGAAGAGTGTCTTCGAGGTTCATGCTGGTTCGGAGCATTTCGAGGGCAGTTTTGAGCCTGGGCTTGTCCTGGTATATCAGCTTGTTGTTCCTAACCTGCATTTATGAAAAGCGATTCATTTTCATTCAAGTGTACGTACGTTTCAGACAGAGAGAGAGAGAGAGAAGAGACCTCTTCTCGCTTGATGGGGTCCTTGAAGGCAGCGTCGATGACATCCTTTGTTGGAACAATCTTCCACTTGGGAATGATCTCTTCCACTCTTGTCAGCAGATTTATCACCACCGGATGCGGTTTCACTTTTTCTGATATCTACACAAAAGATGCATTTACCAACGCTATCTACATATGAACTTTCTTTTTTTTTTGGTCTAACATCATCAACCGATCTTTGTCTGAACCGGACACTTAGGACATCATTTCTTAATAGCTGTCTCTGTAATACTGAGCGTTTGTGGACCATATAACAGAGTTTTAACCTTACACATTGGAGCGACAAGAATGGCACCATTCCAGAAGGAAGGGTCTTTCTTGTGAAGCAACAGGGCCACTGCGCCTCCCATTGATTCCCCGTACAAGAATCGCCCTTTCTCCCTGTACCCTTCCTTTGCTGCATCAGGGATAACAAAAAAGAAAAGAAAAAAGTTTTATGTTTAACCCACAAGCAAAAATTCAGGCATATTACCTTTTTTTTTATAATTGGTATGTTCCTTGATATATATATATGGTTATATCCTAAATTGTATATTCCTTGACGCAGCTCACGTTTTATAGAATAATATTATTATTATTGGTTCAGTTGGTAGTTTCTTAGAGAAAACACGTTTTGAGCTTACAATTACAACAGGAGAAGAAGAAGATGGCCAAGCATACCACAGATAGAGGTGTAATAGTTGAAGCAGTCATTTACAATGTTGGCGAACTTCTTGATGTAGCAGCGGGCGCCCTTGGACCGACCGTGGCCTTCGTAGTCCATCCCAAACACCGCGTACCCTGCTGAAGCCATTCTGATTCCGCATTCTATATATATTTTTAAAAAAAATTATCACCAAAATCATGTGAGTATTCACACTCACTCAGTATCTTAGCATTCTATACCTTCCTGCATGGTATTTACCAGCATTTTTTTTGGTTGAAAACAGCAATACTTTTATTCTACGCTGATCTATCTATGCACCCCGTGCACAAGACTAATGAATTGGAAGATTAAGTACTCGTAGACAAAGGTGGAGTAACCTCAAACCTTTAACATGTACAAGTTTGGATTCTAGACAAGAAAATAAATAGGAGGGTAGTTTTCAACTTCCCAAATAAGGCAATATACTAAGAACAGAAAGTAACAACTCAAAAGAGTCAATTAGGAGATTTAAAAAAGCTCAATAAAGTTTCCCTAATCAAGATTCAAGACCAATCTTTTTGTGGATTGTTGTACCACCCACACCTACCGAGTAGACTATGAATTCCACAATAAAAAAAGGGACACCAGACGTTTAATTCACGTCTCTACGTTGATTGTCGCTATCTACCACGCAACTATAATACAAGGTATTCAAGTTTAGTAAGGGGTGTATATTTTAAACCACATAAATGTTTCTCGCCTCCGAGATTAGTATGGACCTCAATATAATACACTCACTCGATTACAAAAAAGAACTATAATACAAGGCCCATGGAGTTAAATGCTAAGGTGACGAGGATTAATCCCCTCATCAGAACAACTACTCAATCGCATACTTTTCATCTTATCAACCAAAAAAAAATCGTGAAGGCTAATTTATGGTGTATTGAAAAGAACAGAACATTGATGTAAAACATCAAAAGGAAGAAAAGTTGTCATGGGTTTCTTGTTGACGACAAGGACATTTCAATAGAGTTGCATAATTAATGTATTCACCATTGTAATGCATAATCAAGATATCTATTAAGCAACACCTCTCACGAAAGAAAAAAAAAAAATCTAACCAAGATACTAAAACATATAGATAACAGGTGAGGAGACACGTGGAGAAAATTGCAGTTTGATATGAAAGATACGAAGAAGACAAATGCAAAAATGCAGATATGCATATACTGATACAGCGGCGGCAGCTTTATCTTTTTCATCTTCTCGCCTTGTTCTATTTAGTTGGAATCATTCTCCACAAACATCATGTTATCATCTATTTAAAATAATATTTATTAAATATTTGAAATATGTACAATATATATCTTATCAAATGAGTGGGTTACCCATATCTTTTTTTTTAAATATAATATTATAAGATGGAATATATATTGAGGATTAGGACGATGACGCCCATGTTCTTCTGCAACGATCAGTATTCAGAAATTGGAGATATATGTAATATTTAAAAAGGAAACTGTAGATATAATAATATATTCTCTAAAAATTATGATGGGAAGAGGGGCAGAGAGATGAGAGAGAGAGAGAGCAATAAAGAGGGGGAGTAAATTACCTCTCATGAAGCCACTGCACTCCATCCCGTAGCCTGCAGAATACTATTTATTCATCGATTTTCTGGTTTCGTATAAGAAAGTATAACGAAACATATAATGTATATGTATGTATAGTCTCAGCAGATTTCAAACAGAGAAAGAGAGAGAGAGAGGGTACCATGGCAGAGGAAGACGAGAGCTCTGGGAGAAGAACGGGGAATCCAACTGCAGGAGAACAGCTCTACGCCTCTCGAATTTCTTTGATATTCCTGCTTAATTAATTAACGTATGATACTACAAACCAAAATCTCAAGGCGACTCCATTTGTGTTTGAATAGAAAGGATCAGAGAGAGAGAGAGAGAGACCGAGGGGGGGGGGGGGGGTGTTCTCAATTTATAAGGCGAGTTATTACTCGAATTCTTTTAATATATGAAAAAAGAAGACAAGTGAGAAAGCCCAAAATGAGTAAAGTATATGGGCCTTGGCCCATTAGAGAAAAAGGACATAATAAACAAAAAACAATAAAATGGAAGGCTGATCATTAATGCATACAGGCATCAGAGGACAGTCATTGATATATGTTATTATAACGCCCAATCATCGTTACAATATTATTATAACTGTCATTAAAGTAGATCTTTGATATTATATGGAAGTCACGGGATCTTCAATAACGAAGTCAAGATAGATATGGGACGAATCAGTTCACATGAATCGTTCGTGTGATGGAGCTAAGCAAACAACCTTTTTTGACGATCGAATTCCCATCGGAGAGCTCCTCAAATGCATGTCTTTCTATTTCGTGTATGAACGGAACAAAATCCTATCAAATCTCCGCGATTTAACCAACTTAAAACCCAGAAAGGTCACTACGACAAGTGTCCGAGGGAAAACTAAAACACCGACGAGAACACCTCTCAAGACGGAGATATCCCGTCCGACAAAACAGACGAGAAGAAACCCTATGGACCGCAGAAGAAGCTATTTGGTCATTGCTCGTCCAATTTTCGAACATGCCGAGCAGACGAGAACCAGAGAATAAACGCAAACGAAAAACAAAAAGAGAGAGAGAGAGACAGACAATGTATGGCCGCAGCTGAGGAGGGCGAAAAAGACATACTGGATTGGGCAGGAATGGTGTAGAGCTCGAGTTCTGGTTCTTTCCAGGCCCAATCAGTGGTAGCTTCCATGCCGCTCCGACATAAAAAATACGTGTGCATTGGTCTGTAACCCTAATTTAAACCCAAAATCCAGAATCACATCCCCAGGTTTGAAACCTAAAACGACATCGTATCATCAACAGTCCGAACAAAAACAGAGTGATTGGACTAATAGGGTGTCTGGAGGATTCAATAAACCAAAACGTAAAATAAGAGAGGTAGAACAATGGAAAATGACATTTTAAGAGTAGATAATAATAACAAAAAGAGCCTTAGCTCATCCTCTGGGCAGCCTCCTTTGCAAGAACCCTCTCCTTGGCTTTGGTCTTGGCCTGAGATTTGGATCCCATTATGCCACCTCCCCACTTCTTTCTGTATTCATCGTACTTGTCGTTGAAGTTAGCCTACAAACCCATATAAGAAAACCCAGATTGTCAACAACAAGTTTTTTTCCCCACAACACAACGCATTTCACTATTCTACTTTCTCTCTTTACCTTGATGGCCTCGAGGATTTTGCTGAACTCTAGCTTGTCCTCGTTCTTGACAGTGGTCAGACACAAGCAGGAAGCAGTCTTCTTGTGAACAACCTATGTGACAAACCGTTACAAACATTACCCGTCATGCATTTATGAACAGAAATGTTTGGACTAAACCTAGACAGATACAGAGATTTTATTACCGCTCCCAGACGTGATTTCCCCTTCACAATGCAGTATGGGACTTCCATCTTTCTGCACAGAGCAGGCAACCACACGACCAACTCAATTGGGTCCACATCATGAGCAATCACAACAAGTTGGGCCTTGTTCTGCAAGAAGATAGCATCACTTCATAAATAATTCGGATTCTGGCAAACAGTTCACACTGGATCAAAGAAAAAAGTTGTAACGGAAAAGAAAAAAGCCTACCTGCTCAATGAGGTAGGTCACATGGTTAAGGCCATACTTCACAACAATAGGCTTCTTAGCGTCGGACGGCTTTCCCTCTGCCTCAGATTGAGCCTTCTTGAGAAGACGCTCCTTTTTGGCAGCCTTGTCTTCTGGTCTGTACTTAAGAAGGAGCTTAAAGAGGCTGGTTGCTGGAATCAGGAACATAAACCATGTTAGACATCGGAGATAGATAGTTACTAGTGTACAGAAAGCATATTGAAAATATTACTGTCAACTAAAAATAAACAAACAGAAACAAGCAAAGAAAACACATGTATATCTCATGGCCAGTCCCAAGAGGTAACGGCAGCGACGCTGCTCCACAAGGCAATGGAATATGAGACAACTGCATTCACGGAGGATATCCTGGTTATTAGGAAGACCATCAACATTACTACCAGTTAATTTCTGACGATTACTTTGGGCTCTACAAGATTTTCAATAAGCTTGCCCCTTCTCATGTATTGATTTCCGGAGAGAAATCACGTCAACACCGCATGTAACGCAGAACAGAAAAAGATATACACATACATACCAAATTGAGGGAACATCAGTAGAACCACTACATAAGATCAACCAGCTAGAAACTAACAAAAACACCAGCATAGCACTAAGAAAAACAACATTATAACAAGATTATCCGAATATAATTACAGGCAGACAATTTGCATAACCGAGATGAGAAAACACTAACATTTAATAAGAAAATGCAAAAAAAAGTGATACCTAGGTTCTTGTCAAGAGTCTTAGTGAATTGGTTAAGGGCGGGTGGGACCTTCAACCTCTGCTTAAGGATCCGCTTCTGTCTCTGGAGGCGGATAGCCTTTGGCCATTTGATATACCGAGAAAGATCCTTCTTGGGAGGCAAGGCACCACCAATACCGAACTGCTTGGGCCGCTTCTCAAACAAAGGGTTTGTAACTTTCTCCTATAATATCAGAAATCAACACATGAACCTATATAAGAACAATCAAAATAATACCGACATCAAAATCTTACAGAATACGATAAAAAAAAAGACAAGTGAAATCATACCGGCTTCTTCTTGGTAGCCACTTTCACTCCTTTCTTCGGGGCCTAAAACCACAAATGTTGCATACCCAATAAGCTTAAAATAAGCAACACGCTTCAAAAAACGGTCGACAGACACATACTACCAACACCATCTAAACGGAGCAAAGTCACCGAAAAGAAGTCGGAATCCATCTGTTTAGATCCTTAAACAGTTCAACCCAGATTCAGACAGGAAAATCAAAAGCACACGAGCTGTTAACAAGAGAAAGGGGATCGAAAACAGTGATACAGAAACGATGCACGTATGAGATCGCGAAGAGAAGCACAAGAATTGAAGCTAGGGTTTTGGGATTTACCATTTCGTCTCCTTCCGAGGCAAGTTCGCTTGACGGCAGCGGCGAGAAAGATGAGAGGGTTAGCGTTTATACGGTAATTATGCAGGTAGGGCATTTGCTCGTTGTCTCAGTATTTGTTGGGCCGGGCTTTGGGCCCCAATTGTTTTCACTTTGTTTCAGGCCCATTGGATGTGCTTGCGGGGCGCTTATGTCATTAAAACGACGTCGGTTTAGCTTCCGCCAAACATGCGAAGCCGGCTCTTGTTGCAATGCAACTACCATCGTTTTTTCTTTGTGTTCCCTTCATACATACCAAAATGGCAACTCTGTTCATCCCTCACCAGTTAAATGATGTCACCATTCTTCGAGAATGAAATTGAACTCTTTAATGCTTTTTTGTACCCTCAAAAGCTCCGTAACATTCAACAATCGCAAGTCCAATATCACGTATTATGCATAACCATATATATATATATATATAAACGAATCAATGCAAACGCAGTAGGAGAAATGGATGGTCGTCGACAAAGGCAGTCCCTCCGATCAAAACGTGGCCGAGAAATGAATGACGGGTCAGTTACAAACACAAGGTACACAGGCTTAAAAAAACAAGACCTGGTAACTCACCAATCATCACCCACTGGTCTGTCACTCAACTTGTCTTGAACCAGAGTCCACATGACTTGCTATAGTTTTAGCTTTCCCCGCATCTTCTGCGTTTCAAGATAGCGTCCAACTTCCAGCCCAGTTTCTTGATGGGGATTTGGCCAGGCCTGCGAGGGGCAAACATAATAAACATATGATTTTGAACAGACTAATCAAAATTCAGGGATTGGATATGTTACAACGGAACCCGGAGACACTAAGGTCGGGCTCCTACGGTCAAAGTCAAATAACGAAATGAGATGAAATGGAAGAGGATGGTCGAACTAAGAGTCACCTCGCTCTATTGTCCTAGGGCTGTTTCAATTTGTCCTTGAATAATTAGCCAAAACACTAAACGCGGAAACCAGGCCAGCTGTGCCAACAACCTGGGTCAAGTTCCGTGTCCGAACAGCAACTGCCCCTCCAGCCACGGCCCCTGCGATCAAAGCATTCACCTGAAAAACCCATGCGAGGAATGATTACTTGATACTCTGCTAGGTAGTAGACCGCAGCACACACAAGTGACCAGGAATCTAAAATCTCAGCTCAAAGCTGTAATCCAACCAGATATCTTTGAACTATGTAGTAGTAAAATGATGGAGGTTTTAGGACTAACCCAATCATTCCTCCCACGATATCTCTGAAGCCCACAGTGGGTCATAGTAAAAACACCACCAACAAGACCTGAACGAAACTACAATGGGTATAGTTTAGGTATATGCAGGTAATGATGCAGACAACCGAAGTAGACATGTTTCTCCTGCTCTTCTTCCCCAAATAAACCACCAACAAGACCTGAACGAAACTACAATGGGTATAGTTTAGGTATATGCAGGTAATGATGCTCTAACCACAAGACAGAGTTCATAACAAAAGACAATTTCTTCTCTGACTGGTGACAGAAACGCACACGAGATGCAGGCAGATGGGCAACGCTATGTTAAGTTTCCTAGACATTGATGAGAATGTTCATAAACGCAAAAAAAATCAAAAAATCCCGAAGAAATAGACCCAACTTACCGCATTGAAAGCCGAATCTGCCGACATATTTCGCCTACAAAATCAACTTCCAAAGATCAACCGAAAGAGCGAAAGGGTTCTCGAATGAGCAGCAACCAGAAAAAAAACACAGATTCGTTACCACATATGAAGCTTGCGGTACGCCGGTTAGACCTGTCGAGAGAATCAGCAATTAAGTCACGACTACTGAACACAGATGAATCACACAAAAAGTGACGGTAATCTGAATTCTGGAAATATCTATCTCAGATGCTAGTTCTGTACCTATTCTGCGACCTTCACGAGGCCCGGCGCAAAATCCAAAAATCCCTCCGGCCTGAAATTGGTAAATTGAACAATTCTCAGAGAATAATACATCGGAAATTCTCGGAATTGAGAAAAGTTCCTCCGTTCTCACCGTCGCGACACGGATAGCCGATTCGACGGCGAGTGAAGAACACGGCACGGAGGACATCTGCTCTTCCTCCATCTCACTTCTCCCTGATCGGAAATTTGTCCCGCAAATTTTGATTTCCCGGTTTTTTGAAAAGGGATAATCGACCGAACCGGAACCCGATCCGACGCCGTTTTAAGAATCCGAATAAGTGGCTCAAAACGCCGTCGTATGGACATAGAAAACCCTAGAAGGGCGCCTTTTTTTGTTTCTCTCTCTCGTAATAGTAGCATTTTTCATGCGACGAAGACTAAACCAACCTGTAATCCTTCTGCTGCGGGGGAATTAAGCCGGCGAATAGCGGAGCAAAGGATGTCGACGAGGACTCGAGGAACGGCGGCGGCGACGACGACGAAGGGTGGGAAGAAGAAGGCAGCGACCTTCGTCATCGACTGCTCGAAGCCGGTGGAGGATAAGATCATGGACATTGCCTCTCTGGAGAAATTCCTGCAGGAGAGGATCAAGGTCGGCGGTAAACCCGGCGCTCTTGGAGACGCAGTCACCGTTACTCGCGACAAGAGCAAGATCACGGTCACCGCCGACACCAACTTCTCCAAGAGGTGAGTGAATCGACGAACCACTGGCGTTTGCTTTATTATCTGGCTTTTCGTTTGGGGTTTTGAATTGCTTCGTTTTCATCTTCAACGTGGTTGGTTGGGTTCGTCGGAGATATTGATCTAACTCCTATTTGCATTTGTCTGAATCTTTGAAACTTCTCGTATTGTATCTATCTATTAAGAAAATGCTGTAACTTGAACTGGATTTCCAACTTAGTCGGAGCCGGTGAAAAGTGGAAAAAGTTTGTAAATTGCGAATGAGATCGGGCTCTCAATCTTCAGCAATTGAAACCCGTTTACCGGTCGAGATTCAGGGTGGTCTTTGCGTTGCAATTTGTTCGTATAACTTGTATACCACAAGAAAATGTATCGGTTTTCGATCTGGATTTTGGTGGTTGCTGGTCTGGCTCTCAATCTTCTTGCTTGACATTGGTTAAAGTTGCAATTCTTTTGCTTCTGCGAGATGGTACTTAGCCTTTCCTTGTTGATCTGATTCAGGTACCTTAAATACTTGACCAAGAAATACTTGAAGAAGCACAATGTTCGTGATTGGCTCCGTGTGATTGCCTCCAACAAGGATAGGAGTATCTATGAATTACGCTACTTCAACATAGCCGAGAATGAGGGTGAAGAGGAAGATTGAAAACGACCCCAGTTTCTCCTTTTGGAACTCCAAATATCTCGGGCTTAGGTTGTATTTTGTTTCTTTTCCATTATCAGTTGTCTGAATTTGTTGAGATCCTCTTCAATGTTACGCCAAGTTTTCCAGTTACAAGTGATGTTTTATCCAATATCTTGCTCGCCCTAGACGCATATGCCTCTGAAATGTGAATCTGATCATCTTGCTCCCGCATTGGCTGTATTTCTGTGTGCCTGAGTAATATAATATGGTTGTCAAGAAACCCTCGTCGGATATCAGATCAAAAAGAGATCAATTTACCGTTCCAGTTTGTCTGGTTTCAGATCAAAAGCTACCATGTCTGGATAAAGTTTTGAGTTGACGAAAGTTTGCATATTTATTGGACTCGGACCAACAACAGATGGGAAATGGGAACTTCCCGTAAGCTCATATCTTCTACAAATCCGATTCTTCACCTTCGCCACCGGACAGTGGAGTCTTTCATATGGAACAACATCATACGCGCCCAAGTCCAAAATGTCACGCCGGCGCGACCATATTCTCCGGTCTCCATCTATCTCCGCATGCGCCGCCATGGCGTCATTCCCGACTTCCATACCTTCCCCTTCCTCCTCCAGTTTTTCGACAATCCTGTTCATCATCGTATCGGGCAACAATCCCATGTTCATATCCTTCTTTTTGGCTTTGATGAGGACCCGTTTGTCCAGACTTCGCTTATCAACATGTATTCGTCTTGCGGCGATTTGGGTTCTGCTCGTCAAGTTTTCAATGAGTCGGTCTCTCCGGATCTACCGGCATGGAACTCGGTTGTCGATGCCTATTCGAGAGCCGGGTTGATCGACGTCGCGCGGGAACTGTTCGACGAAATGCCTAAGAGAAACGTGATTTCTTGGAGCTGCATGGTAAACGGGTACGTGATGTCTGGGAAATACAAAGAAGCGCTCGATCTGTTCCGAGAGATGCAGTTGCCGAGAGCCGACGGAAGTTTTGTCAGACCCAACGAATTCACCATGGCGACTGTCTTGTTGGCTTGTGGGCGATTGGGTGCGCTCGAGCAAGGGAAATGGATTCACGCTTACATCGATAGGTCCGCTATGGAAGTCGACCTTGTTTTAGCCACAGCTCTCATTGACATGTACGCGAAATGCGGGAGCATCGAAAGGGCGAAATGGGTTTTCAATGCCATGGGACGGAAGAAAGACGTCAAAGCTTACAGTGCCATGATTTCGGGCTTAGCCATGCACGGCCACACAAAAGAATGTTTCGATTTGTTCTCAGAAATGATCAGTAACGAAATAAACCCAAATGCGGTGACATTCATGGGAGTTCTTGGAGCTTGCGTCCATGGAGGTCTGGTTAAAGAAGGAAAACTGTACTTTGCAATGATGAACGAGAAGTTTGGTATTACTCCATCAATCCAGCATTACGGATGCATGGTTGATCTTTATGGAAGAGCTGGTTTGATCCAAGAAGCAAAGAGCTTCATCGGGTCTATGCCTATGGAGCCTGATGTACTCATATGGGGATCTCTTTTAAGTGGATCCAGAGTTATTGGAGACATTGAAACGTGTGAAATGGCACTCAAGAACCTGATCGAGCTTGACCCATCGAACAGCGGAGCCTACGTTCTTCTCTCTAATGTCTATGCGAAAACTGGGCGGTGGAGTGAAGTGAAGTGTATCAGAGACGAAATGGAGGTAATAAACTGACGTTTTGTGCAAGTTCTTGAAAACTTCGGATAAAAACAATCTCAGATTTTTCGTCTTCTCTGATTTCCGACAGGCGAAAGGGATCAAGAAACTTCCGGGATGCAGCTCGGTAGAACTGGATGGAATCATTCACGAGTTCATGGCGGGGGACAAGTCTCATGAAGAGAGCGAAGGGATATACGCAATGCACGAGGAGATAATGAAGAGGCTGAGAATGGAGGAGGGATATGTTTCAGACACGAAGGAGGTTCTGCTCGATCTGGACGAGGAAGGCAAAGAGATGGCACTGTCTGTCCACAGCGAGAAACTGGCGGTGTCGTTCTGTTTGCTGAAGACAAAGGCCGGAACTCCTGTCAGGATCATCAAGAATCTCAGGATCTGTGGCGATTGCCATGTCGTTATGAAGATGATCTCCAAAGTTTTTGGAAGAGAGATTGTCGTTAGAGATTGTAACAGGTTTCACCGTTTCAGTGACGGGAAATGCTCCTGTGGAGACTATTGGTGAAACATTTCTTTGACGAGACCAAATAAAAAAAAATACATTGATTTTGTGAATGGATTGCTTGTTTCGAGTCATATCCACGTGAAAAACGTTTTTCCCAGTTTAATTTTGAAAATCTCAATAATGCATTTGTGAAAATGACGGTTTTGGATTGTGTTATGTTTCCGTTTATTTCAACGAATATATTCATTTTTTTTAATCTCAATAATGTTATTCGATTATTTGTCTCTGATTATTTTATAACGAAAAAAAAATCACCACGAACTCAACTTCTTGGGCTTTCAATATGTAAAGGGGGCTATAAAGTCAATTAGATTTATTACGGCGTCACTTTAGAATTAAGAAAGAGTTGAAGGATGAAATAAGAAATCCTGCTACGAAACGAAAACGAACAAGCAAATTACAATTAAGTCCACTTATACGAAAATCTTCGCAATATAGGGCCAAACAAATAGCTGTTAGAAATTAACGCCTAATGTCTCCGTGTCACCCGTCTCTCTCCCACACAATTTTCAAATAACTGTATCGTCGTCATCATGTGCACAAGTCTCTCCGAGTTTGCAAATAAATGGCTCAAGAGCCTCCACAACAAATAGCCGAGAGCCCACCACTCTCATCAGTTCAAACTTGCGCATCCGTCTCTCTGTCGGCTGATCTCCGGTGGAATGCGATCTGGACGCAGTCCTCCGGTACGATTTTGCATGGATCTCTTGGCTTGTGGTTCTCTCTGTTTCTCATTCTGCCTTGTATCGTTCGAGAATTTTGTAATTTTTCTCTACTTCCTTTGAGCTATTAGGTTTTGGCTCTTGATTTTGCGAAGATCTGATGTTGCATCTGAACTTCTGATGAATGCCTTAGATTTGTTTTTTCTTTTCCTGGAAATGGTTACTTCTGGTGCTGGCTTTCGGTGGTAAGTCTCCATCTATCTCCGCATGCGCCGCCATGGCGTCATTCCCGACTTCCATACCTTCCCCTTCCTCCTCCAGTTTTTCGACAATCCTGTTCATCATCGTATCGGGCAACAATCCCATGTTCATATCCTTCTTTTTGGCTTTGATGAGGACCCGTTTGTCCAGACTTCGCTTATCAACATGTATTCGTCTTGCGGCGATTTGGGTTCTGCTCGTCAAGTTTTCAATGAGTCGGTCTCTCCGGATCTACCGGCATGGAACTCGGTTGTCGATGCCTATTCGAGAGCCGGGTTGATCGACGTCGCGCGGGAACTGTTCGACGAAATGCCTAAGAGAAACGTGATTTCTTGGAGCTGCATGGTAAACGGGTACGTGATGTCTGGGAAATACAAAGAAGCGCTCGATCTGTTCCGAGAGATGCAGTTGCCGAGAGCCGACGGAAGTTTTGTCAGACCCAACGAATTCACCATGGCGACTGTCTTGTTGGCTTGTGGGCGATTGGGTGCGCTCGAGCAAGGGAAATGGATTCACGCTTACATCGATAGGTCCGCTATGGAAGTCGACCTTGTTTTAGCCACAGCTCTCATTGACATGTACGCGAAATGCGGGAGCATCGAAAGGGCGAAATGGGTTTTCAATGCCATGGGACGGAAGAAAGACGTCAAAGCTTACAGTGCCATGATTTCGGGCTTAGCCATGCACGGCCACACAAAAGAATGTTTCGATTTGTTCTCAGAAATGATCAGTAACGAAATAAACCCAAATGCGGTGACATTCATGGGAGTTCTTGGAGCTTGCGTCCATGGAGGTCTGGTTAAAGAAGGAAAACTGTACTTTGCAATGATGAACGAGAAGTTTGGTATTACTCCATCAATCCAGCATTACGGATGCATGGTTGATCTTTATGGAAGAGCTGGTTTGATCCAAGAAGCAAAGAGCTTCATCGGGTCTATGCCTATGGAGCCTGATGTACTCATATGGGGATCTCTTTTAAGTGGATCCAGAGTTATTGGAGACATTGAAACGTGTGAAATGGCACTCAAGAACCTGATCGAGCTTGACCCATCGAACAGCGGAGCCTACGTTCTTCTCTCTAATGTCTATGCGAAAACTGGGCGGTGGAGTGAAGTGAAGTGTATCAGAGACGAAATGGAGGTAATAAACTGACGTTTTGTGCAAGTTCTTGAAAACTTCGGATAAAAACAATCTCAGATTTTTCGTCTTCTCTGATTTCCGACAGGCGAAAGGGATCAAGAAACTTCCGGGATGCAGCTCGGTAGAACTGGATGGAATCATTCACGAGTTCATGGCGGGGGACAAGTCTCATGAAGAGAGCGAAGGGATATACGCAATGCACGAGGAGATAATGAAGAGGCTGAGAATGGAGGAGGGATATGTTTCAGACACGAAGGAGGTTCTGCTCGATCTGGACGAGGAAGGCAAAGAGATGGCACTGTCTGTCCACAGCGAGAAACTGGCGGTGTCGTTCTGTTTGCTGAAGACAAAGGCCGGAACTCCTGTCAGGATCATCAAGAATCTCAGGATCTGTGGCGATTGCCATGTCGTTATGAAGATGATCTCCAAAGTTTTTGGAAGAGAGATTGTCGTTAGAGATTGTAACAGGTTTCACCGTTTCAGTGACGGGAAATGCTCCTGTGGAGACTATTGGTGAAACATTTCTTTGACGAGACCAAATAAAAAAAAATACATTGATTTTGTGAATGGATTGCTTGTTTCGAGTCATATCCACGTGAAAAACGTTTTTCCCAGTTTAATTTTGAAAATCTCAATAATGCATTTGTGAAAATGACGGTTTTGGATTGTGTTATGTTTCCGTTTATTTCAACGAATATATTCATTTTTTTTAATCTCAATAATGTTATTCGATTATTTGTCTCTGATTATTTTATAACGAAAAAAAAAATCACCACGAACTCAACTTCTTGGGCTTTCAATATGTAAAGGGGGCTATAAAGTCAATTATATTTATTACGGTGTCACTTTAGAATTAAGAAAGAGTTGAAGGATGAAATAAGAAATCCTGCTACGAAACGAAAACGAACAAGCAAATTACAATTAAGTCCACTTATACGAAAATCTTCGCAATATAGGGCCAAACAAATAGCTGTTAGAAATTAACGCCTAATGTCTCCGTGTCACCCGTCTCTCTCCCACACAATTTTCAAATAACTGTATCGTCGTCATCATGTGCACAAGTCTCTCCGAGTTTGCAAATAAATGGCTCAAGAGCCTCCACAACAAATAGCCGAGAGCCCACCACTCTCATCAGTTCAAACTTGCGCATCCGTCTCTCTGTCGGCTGATCTCCGGTGGAATGCGATCTGGACGCAGTCCTCCGGTACGATTTTGCATGGATCTCTTGGCTTGTGGTTCTCTCTGTTTCTCATTCTGCCTTGTATCGTTCGAGAATTTTGTAATTTTTCTCTACTTCCTTTGAGCTATTAGGTTTTGGCTCTTGATTTTGCGAAGATCTGATGTTGCATCTGAACTTCTGATGAATGCCTTAGATTTGTTTTTTCTTTTCCTGGAAATGGTTACTTCTGGTGCTGGCTTTCGGTGGTAAGTCAATGGATACTGATCCGATTTCTTTGGACAGAGTTATGTTTTTCTCGTGAAACTGTGTTTCGAATGATTAAGCTGAATGTTGCAGATTCTTAATGTTCTCAGCATCTTTCGTATGTCAGGTTCATTTGTCCTGGTGATCTCAAGAGCTAGTTGTGTTCAGTTGACTTATCTTATTGGGGATTAAACCAAAATGACCTCGATCCTTAATCAGACCGAGGTCCTTGGACACATCCGATGTGAAAGCTACTTCCTGTTTTCTGGAGAAACTGTTCTTTCAGATGGTCTTCGTGCCGCCTTATATTTCCTCGGTCTTGGCTACTGCTTTGTCGGGTTGTCGGCCATTACTGCAAGATTCTTCCTGTCTATGGAGAATGTTGTTAAACATTCACGTAAAGTGGTTGAGATAGATCCTGTTACTAATTCTGAAACTGTCACGTACAAGAAAGTTTGGAATTTTACGATTGCAGACATCAGTTTGTTGGCATTTGGAACCAGCTTTCCTCAAATATCATTGGCTACCATTGATGCAGTACGAAATGTTGGGGAGCTGTACGCTGGAGGTTTGGTCCTTTCAATACTCTTTGTTACTTGTGCATGGTAACTGGAGTTAATACAATCTGCATTTTTTCCTTTTCGGGTAATCAAATGGGTTGTTGGAAGACCATATCACATATCACATCCCATGAATGGTTTACACCCTGTCTAATATTTCTTCTCACACCATGTTTTGTACGTAGGTCTCGGTCCTGGAACACTTGTTGGTTCTGCCGCATTTGATCTTTTCCCAATCCATGCTGTTTGTGTATTAATGCCAAAGGCTGGAGAATTGAAAAAGATAGCCGACTTAGGTGTTTGGCTGGTGGAGCTGTTTTGGTCTTTCTGGGCTTACATCTGGCTCTACATAATCCTCGAGGTAACTCAGGAAAAGTTTTATTCATGTGAACTTCCTCACATACATCCAAATTGTGATGAAACATATTCTTGCTTTCATCTTCACGCCTCCAATTATGTATGTTTCGAGCTCCTCTACTTTTATGTTTGTGGGCATAATACGAGATTTTTTTTTTACAATATTTGATGGACATTCATTGAGTTAGACTCGCCTACTGGAACTTAGGCAGAAAG